GTACATGTAACACTACTGACTGCAATGCTGTGCTACAGGCGAGTAGCTACACATGCAAATGACTCAACAATGCCCCTTTGCTGGATGCTTTCTCATTCCTATTGCTGGGTCTCTGCGCAGAGGAGGGCGGACACATCGTGCCCCCCTCCCGGAAACGGAAGACTGAAGAAACCCAGGCCCCCCCCTGAGTCTCAGCCCTACCCCTGGGAAGTGATGCAAGAAACATCTCAGGACCTTAGTGGGCCCCGGAAATTGCAGGGCCGTTTTTCACCGTTTCCAGAAAAGTGTCCCTTGAAAATGGAAACGGCAAAAAAAACGGCGACCGGAAACGGCAACAAAAACGGCTCCAGGATTGGAACGGGAGCGGGAACCCGTAAAAGAACGGCGACGGAACCGGTAAACAAACGGCGTCGGAACCGGCAAAAAACGGCAAAACGGAACCGGTAAAAAAACGGCCCTGTCGTTTCCAGGGCCCACTGAGCTCAGGACCATGTGTATCTATAGCGCCAGCGGAAGGCATTATGATCGATTGCCCATGCCGTAACACATCTACTGTTCTTACCAAAAACTACTTTCAATGAACTGTCGTGCCTACGCAATGCTCTGCCCATGATTTTCGTGTCTGAGCCTCTGATCTAGATTCTCGCAAGCTGCGCTAAGCTCATTTCGTGATCTAAATCGAAGAAGAAACATATGCGTAAGCTAAGCTTGAACTTTAGAAGGTCCGCGCGGATTTCTTGGATCGGTGCTGTCCACTTATCCCTGGCGCTCGGAGCGCGCCAGGGGCGGCGCCAGAGGCGGCGCCAGGGGGGGCTCTAGCGCGGACACAGGAAACCCGAACGGACCCTCGACGGTCCATGTTTATAAGATCTGTTGTGTCACCCCGGGGGGGGGAAATGTGACTCTCCCCCGCCCGGCGCCGATCCAAGACATCCACGTGGCTATGCGGAGGCTTGTGCTCATGCCGGTGCTGTGCTTGCCCCCCTGGGAGAGGCGCGCCGCGCCCGTGCGTGCGGCCACTGCTGCTCCTCCGCCGTGGCGCGCCGAGGCTGCGTGGGCGACCTCGTGGCGAAGCTGGGGGAGAGGGTGATGCCGGAGAGCGCGGGGCGGACTGACCCAAACCCCCCCGTGAAAAAATCGCGACGGGAGGTTTTTCGCTATTTTCTTTCGGCCTCCGGGGGCCCTTCCCGGGCCTCGGGATCGTCAACACACGACTCGGGATGAAAAACCGGTCCCTGGGAAAGGATCCAGACCTTTGGGGATCGACGTTGCGGAACAAAAACGCGACGTCGGGGGTCTGTGGATGCTGGGGGCGTCAGGCTGCCTTCTCGAGGGAGGGTGGCCGATGGGGTCCGTGGCCAAGACGCGAGTGGAGATCGGCGGGCTTCCAGTCCTTGGATTCCTCACTTATGCGCAGTGGTTTCTTATCCAGTGCCCTCACCGTAATGCCGGCGGGGGTGGCGCCCGAGAGCGGTGCCAGTGAGTGGCGGCGCAAGGGCGGTGGCTCGGACGGACGGCAGCGGGGGGAGCAGTGAGCGTGGGGGGACAAAGGTCTGCCAGTGGAAGCGGCCCCAGAGGGGCCCGCCACAAGCTGCCCTGGCGGGCCCACAAGAGGCACGGAAGGCGCGCGCTTCTCTCCTCGTCCTCCTCGTCCTCGTCCTCTTCGTCCTCGTCCTCGTCGTCGTCTTCCTCCTGCTCCTTCTCCTCCTCCTCCTCCCTCCCCCCCCCTCCTCCTCCTCCTCCTCCTGCTCCTTCTCCTCCTCCTCCTCCTCCTACTTCTCCTCCTCCTTCTCCTCCTCCTCCTCCTCTTCCTCCTCCTCCCCCTCCCCCTCCTCGTTTATTGCCCCCCAGTCAACGAACGAATGCCCCATGCTGGGGGGGGAACGCCAGAGAGTGGTGCCAGTGAGGGGCGGCGCAAGGGTGGTGATGCCAGTGAGTAGAGGGCGAGCGATGCCAGTGGGTGATGCCCAGGGTCGATGCAGGGGGGGACGATGTCAGGAGGGTGGTACCATCGGGGCAATGCTGGTCTGTGGTGAGGGTGGGATGATGCTATGGGCCTAAGCACCTGGTCTCCAGGCGCGAGTGAAAAAATGGCGGTCGGCGCCAGGAACGGACAACACCCTGCATTGATCTCCAGCGCTCTTCTTTTCTTTCAAGAGTGCATCAACTCAGGACATTCCCTGGGACCCAGCCTAGAATGCCTGTCGAAGGATTCAATGCAAAAAAGATGCGCTTTGCGAGCACTTTGGATATTGGATAGAAGCTTATGGTTCCGCTCACCTAGTGCAATCGCGTGGCAACCGGTACCTGGCACAGCCCATGAAATTAATGTATCGGGGGTCCTTGTGATTAGCTACCGCAGGTACTCTGACCATTGCTTCCAGGAAGATTCAGATGTTTTGAAAGTCCCAGTGGGCGCCGCCGATATGTTGTTATGTGTCTGAAATGTGCGAAGGATCGCGCGAATATGCTATCGCCAATCAGCCTGCCACCATCCAGAGATGGAGACTAGCGCGTGAGAGCCCAAATCTGTGCACGGATGCCCCTCCAGGTTTTGCCCCTAGGCTGGATTCTTTCCGTCCCCCCTGGACGCCCCTCTTCCACCCGTACGATGTCAGCGCTGCAGCGGCGAGACACGGGCACTGCATCGCGCGGTGGTCCAGCTCCAGACCGCGAGCAATTGTTGCGCAGCTGCTCGCGACGCTTCGCCGCCCCTCGCGTCGGGGGCTGTCCGAGCAGATCATCGAGCCAGGCCTCCCCCCCTCCACCCCTCTCGTCGCCATCGCCGGCGTCCGCCTCCCTCTACCTCCCCCCCCCGCCTCGCTTTTTTTCGCGAGGAGCTGATGCCCATCTTCATGGACACCCTGGCGACGGGCGACGAGAAGGCGCGCGAGGGCGTCTGCCTCGGCCTGGAGGAGGTCATCAACGCCACCACCAAGCAGCTGCTCCAGGACTACCTCGCCAACCTCATCCCCGCCATCCAGCAGGCCATCCGGCCCGCACGCGGCCGCTCCTGGGGCGCGTGCTTGGGAAGGGAAGGGGGAGGGGAGGGGCAGAGGGAGAAGGAGCTGCAGGCGGAAAAGAAACACACAGACACAGTTAATCGGCGATTCCCAAGAAAATATGGGAAACTATGGGAAGCGGGGGGGGAAGGCAAAACCCAGAACATATGGGACATATGTTTATTTGTGTGTATTTGTTTGTGTGTCCCAGGGCCCCTTTAGAGCTGCAGGAGGAGGAGGAGGAGGATACAAGAATTGCCGAAGCAGATAGGCAATTACCTGGAGGTAAAGCATGTAGCAGCATGTACAGGGACATGCGCGCACAGTGAGGGCGGTGTGGACGCATTGCTCGGGGTGGAGGAGGAGGAGGGGGAGGAGGAGGAGGAGGAGGAGGAGGAGGAAGAGGAGGACGTGGTGGAGAGGCTAGCCGATGCAAGGCAAACAGCAACAAGGAGGTCTTGGATGCCTTGGGCTTCTCTGGGATAAAAACGAAAACTGCCATTATTCGGTTGCAGTGGATGCAGGCCATGCTAGCGCACCCGGACAAACACGATCAGTACTTCACAGCGATGTTTGGCACGGTCACGTTAGAATATCATAAGTTCCCTCAACATGCAGATTTGGACCGACTCTATGAATACTTGAAATTTGTTAATCACGTGGAAGACATCGCGTGGATAGTTGAAAGGCTCCGTGGCAACCACGAGTATCTGGTAATACTCACAATACAACAAATTTGCGAGGAGATGTTTGTTTGGCCGAATTGTCGCGCATACGTCGTAAGAATATTGGAAACATAATTCCCCCACCAGGATTCTCAAAACTTGCGTTGCCTCGGAGTGGAAACAGGGAGGAGGAGGAGGAGGAGGAGGAGGAGCAGAAGGAGGAGGGCGAGCCGGAGGAAAAACTAGATCGATGCGCGATGCGATATCATTCTGTCGAATGGCACTACATGCAGCGAGTGTCTCTACACGGAGACAGGGCTAATACGAATCACACAGATCATCCAGCTGTTCATCAGTTGGTTTCCCCCTTGTCCAGACGAATCAATGCCCGCTTTGTGCTTCCATCTTGGCGTCGGTCACTGGTGCAAGAGACGCGTATGTTTTTGTGAACATCGGAATGGCCGGTGACGTCGACGAACACGGTGAGTATACATGTCCAGAGTGTGAATTTACCAACTCGGCTCTTCTAGCGTACAACTTGCACGTTCGGTCGCTTCTGCAAGCCCTTGGCGGGCATTGATGTCGAGACGGCCTCTGCCAGCGCCTCGCAGGAAGGCAACCGGCGAAGCTTCCGAGGACTTGATTTGGATGGTCGCTTTGATAGCCAAGCTGTCGCCGAGCACAAAACACTACACTCGCTGTTGGCGGTGCATCATGTTCGTGTTTTTCACGTTCTTCGTGGGGCGTTGGCTCGTCATGATTGCGATTCGGGAGTACCACTGAACAGCGGAGGAGATCCAGGGCACCGCGCAACGCAAAGACCGCTTCGGCCTCCCGCGCACCCATGCGTGAAACGCCCTCCTACAAGGGTGGAGGCTGTATATCGCCAAGCAAGGCACGCAGGAGAGGCCTGACCACTGACAGCACGAAGTACCAAACACTCAGATGGAAAGCGATCGCAGAGGTCCTCGAGCCTGCGAGGCCTGAGAAGGGCTCACGATCGCAAGCGCATTCATCTTGAGATAAACGTGCAACCCTGCACAGACAGGAATCTTCTCTACCAGCGCAGCCTGCGGGCGTCGATGCTCAGGGATCCACAGTGTACAAACTATTTGGGCAGGTTCCTCCTGGGGAGCTTGAGAGGCGCATTCAGGCGGGGTTCGAGAAAAATTGGTTCTGATGGGAGATGGACAACAAGAGAAGGACAGGGTGATATACCAAATTTGGGCTTGCATGGACGCCCTTACACTTAATGATGCCCAGCTCCTTGCGGGGTGCCTCCATCTGAACATGCACGGCAGTGGTGCTGTCTTCAGAAATGGAATCATTGATGCTTACGTACGCAGACATCGATGCCGCCCATGTTTCCATGGTTCCATACGACGGCGACCCAGCGGCCAACTACATTAAACATGTGCTTGCATGTCCTTCACGTCGTCTTGTTGTCCTTCTTGGTCCTCGCCGCTCTGCGGTGCGCTACTTCTGCTGTCTCTGCCCTCGCCCTTTTCCCCCTACTCTTGCCCCCGACCGCCTGTTTTTTTGTTGTTTTCGTCTCGTCTTGCCGGTTCTGCCGCCGCCTCCCTCCCTTCCCCCCATCCTTCCTCTTGCTTTTTTGCTCGACCACGTCCACCGAATCCTCGGCGAGCGTTGCGCGAAGTGGTGCGGTGCGCGCGCGGCGGATCGTCGGCCCGGTGCCGTATCCGAGTTCGCCGCTTCTGCCCGTGGCGGACGCGCCCCGTCCCCGGCGGCCCGAGCTTTCATCGACGCGACGCGGCGGAACTTGCCGCACCGATTTGTTGTACAGAGTTAAGACCGAGCTCGTGCGAGGACGCGTGCGCGCGTGGAGGAAAAAGAGGGACAGGAGGAAGCGAAGGGAAAGGACAACGAGCAGGAGGGAGAGAAGGAGGAGCGAGAGGAGGAGGAGGAGGAGCAGGAGGAGGAGTGAGAAGAGCAGGAGGAGGCGGAGCAGGAAGAAGCGGAGGATGAGGATGAGAAGGGATGTTTTTTCGGACTGCAGCGCGCTTTCGCCCACACCGAAAAAAGTCGGGCCAATCCGCCCGAAGGCGTCCGCCAGACTACAATAGAACCGTTCAGGTGGAGCTTGGGGATCTCCGAGATGCGCGGTGGCACCGATGAATTTGGGATGAATAAAAGACTACAAGAAAATGGCAAACATACCGCTTGCAGTGAAAAGCCACCTAGCCGTCAGGGCCTCGTTAGTAGCGCGAACCTTTGCCCGTCATATTCGTTGCCTTAAGAAAAACAAGTTTACCCATAGTTTAGAAAAAGGTGGCGGGCGAACATTGTCCAGGAAAAAAGAACAGATATAGAGAGAGAGGGAGAGAGAGCTAGAGAGAGAGAAGGGGGGAGAGAGAGACGGAGAGAACACAAGACAAGCATTATCAATATACAGAAAACAAGCAAAGAGAGAGAGAGAGAGAGAACAAGAAACAGCACTGATCAACTCAGAGAGGCAACCCTGGGCATGCCTTCCGAAAGAAATGTCGAACTGGGCGGGTGAGCGGGCAATTCGTCTAACGCCTTCGCACCAGAGGAAGGTGGAAGAGATGCGGTGTCTTGTTGGGGTCCAGGGCGAAGCGGAGAAATGGACAAGTAACGTCTAAGGAGAACCAGGGTGATGTTCGTCTAGCATGCAAAACGCGGGAAGCACATGTTACATGGAGCTCACCAAATCAAATACCGAGCGCGCACCATGCCCAGCTCATCGGGCAAGACAGTGGGAACTGGGGCCACCGAGTTCAGATGCGGAGCAAGTGCCTTGGCATGCTACCTGTGGAGGGACATGGCCGCACTTGCAATGCAGCGTTCAGCCTACTAGGAAAACAATACAAAATCCTTGGGCACAGTACACACCTCGATGTCAACAAATGGCAGATGTCGTTAATATGTCAAAGCAAGTGAGGGGGGAAGGAAGGATAATCCACCACTTGCGCTTGCAGCCGAGGCGAAATCATAATGCAGGTACCTGAGAGACCAACCATCCGAGAAACCGCGGGTGAGAGGTCTTTACATCCAGAAACAAATTGCCGTGGCCAAGCACAAGAAAAATACATGATGGGCGATGCGGCAGATACGCGTATGAGCCGTAGTGTGGTGAGGAGGTGAGGAGGATATGAACGCGTCCCGTAATACAGCGAAGAGGCATTGTACCCACCCCTCTTGGTAGGAGGTGGACCTTCCTTATCGTTGAGGGCAGAATCTTGAGTATCAGCAATGTTAGGGTATGCGGGCCCAGTAAGGTCAGACGTGACCCAAGGACGAGGTCCATTCCTTTATGTCTGGCCCACGGGAAATGAGCTTTCGTCTGAAAGGCCTATCGTCTCCATTCGGGAGACCCCATAAAAAAGTATCGGTGGCGCGAAAAAAAAACGAGTGCACGTGCGGGAGGTATGAACATATTTCCAAGCTTGGATCCGAGGTCCTTCCAAGAAGCCCTTGGCGGGGAGCGAGCAGGAGGGCATGATATCTGGACGAGCAGAGGAGCCCATGGTTCAATTCCATCAGGTCACGGGGATGGTCGGTCCAGCCAGCGGGCACTCACGTCCCAAAGCTGAGCCTCGAAATGGCGAGAATCCAGGAGAGCAGGGGAACAGGGCAAAATAAACACGAACTTCCCAGAGTCTTTCGAGCCTGAGGGGGACATGTTTTAAAAGAGGGTGTTAACATTAAATCCAGCTGGGGACATCAAGCCCTCGAAAGCTTGGTAGCTGAAATAGAGCGAGTATCAAGCAGGCACTGAGCGATTTGGGGTACGAAACAACAGTGTGCACAACGACAAGCGCCCTACAAACTATGACGCTCGAGCAGTTGAAGGGAGAGAGGAGGAGGGAGCAGGAAGTTAGGAGGAGGAGGAGGGAAGACAGAGGAGGAAGGAAAAGGAGGAGGAGCAGGGGTAGGACGGAGGAGGGATGTCGGAAGCACACACCATGAGAAGGACAATCGCGCACCCGCGCCCGCGCGCAGAGGCACGACCATGTGTCGTCGGCGAGGCGAGAAAGGGGGCACGGGGGCGGCGAGGGGAACAGCGCACCTCCCAGGCCATCATCATCCTCTCCTCCTCCTCCTCGTCCTCCTCCTCCTCCTTCTCCTCCTCCTCCTCCTCCTCCTCCTCCTCTCTTCTCCTCTCTCTCCTCCTCCTCCTCCTCCTCCTCCTCCTCTCCTCCTCCTCCTCCTCCTCCTCCTCCCTCCTCCTCCTCCTCCTCCTCCTCCTCCTCCTCCTCCTCCTCGCTCCTCCTCCTCCTCCTCCTGCTCCTCCACCCCCTCTTTTCTCAGAGGGGCACGAGGTCATGATGATCATAGGTTCCAATCTCCATGGCCCCGGGCTCCCCCCGATGTCTTAGTCTGCCCCGCGAGCTGCAGAAGCGAGGGCCGCCAGGCTCCGGAGACTCTGGAACGCATCCTGAGCCAGACCTGCCATGACAATTCCCTCCGTATATGTTCTTTCCTCCTCTTCCTCCTCCCTCCTCCTCCTCCTCCTCCTCCTCCTCCTCCTCCTCCTCCTCCTCCTCCTCCCTCCTCCTCCTCCTCCTCCTCCTCCTCCTCCTCCCCTCCTCCTCCTCCTCCTCCTCCTCCTCCTCCCTCCCTCCCTCCCTCCCTCCCCTCCCTCCCTCCCTCCCTCCCTCCCTCCTCCTCCTCCTCCTCCTCCTCCTCCTCCTCCTCCTCCTCCTCCTCCTCCTCCTTCTCCTCCACACTGCGTCGTGTTTCAATTTCGGCCACGTTGGCAGGACACTTCTCTGCGCCTTCAGCGTCTCACCGTTTGCCGTTCGCACTGCGGTTGCGCAGTGGCCTCACGAGAGATCCTTGTTTGGAAGCGTCCGATGCCCTCTTCTCCCTCCACAGCTGCGCCGGAAAGAAAACCTCCAGGCCATCATCGACGAGGACGAGAACGTCCGCAACTCCGCCAGCCGAGTCGTCGCGCTGCTCCACGGATCGGTGGGCCCCCGCGCCACCACCGACGTCGTGACCTGGGTGCTGATCCAGCTCTTGGACGAGGACCCTGGGCCGACGGCCGGAGGACGAAGCTCCGAGCAGGCTCCCTTCGGAAAGTCGTCTGATTTTAAGTGGGGCCTGTCCCTCCACAGGGGGAATATGCAAAAAGACTCCAAAAATGGTCTGGGGACTATGTTTTGACTATTTTTGGGGCATCTTGTGAGCATTTTTTGAGTATGTGTTATTTTTCTTCCAAAATCCCCCTGTGGGGGGACACGCCCGACTTAACTCTAATTCCCTTGGCACAAACAGGAAAGCGGCGCCCTCCCATCCTATTGTCAAGGTGTCTCTTAGCTTGGCCTTCGGTGTCAGGCGGCATCCGGGGCATGACGCCAGCGTCGAAGCATGCTGTGCGCTACAGCTTCCCCCCCTCCAGACACAGTTTGTCTCGATGGCCTGGGACTTTAGGGAGGCGCTGGAAGGTTCTGAGCGGCTTGGCTGTTCCGGACGGGCCGCGGGTTACCCGGAGTGGTTCTGTATGATCCCGGAGGGCCGTTGTGCCCGCGCCCCTCCCGCAAGTCCGGGCCTCACCAGGAGAGTGTCCGGGTGGGGGACTGGGCTCGTCCGGCGTCGACTCTTGACAGCCGAGCGGCGGTCAAACATAGCGGAGCCGCAACCATGGAGCAGAGCGCGTGGATGATAGCGACGGCTCCCGCTTTTCACGCCACGCCGGCGCTTTCCGTCGCCGAACATCAGGCAGCACTGGCCGCACGTAGTTTGGGGGGTGCTTTCCCTGGTCCGCGTAGCTGTCGCCCACGCGCCAGATCTGATGGGCCTGCTCTCCACCACCACCACCACCACCATCATACCCTGGAGGGGAAAGGAGGAGGAGGAGGAGGAAGAGGAGGAGGAGGTGGAGGATGAGACGGAGAGGAGGAGGAGGAGGAGGAGGAGGAGGAGGAGGAGGAGGAGGAGGAGGACCCCCTCCCCCTCCTACTTATGGTGGGGGCGGTGAGAAGCAGGCCCACGAAGATCCAGGGACTCGAAATCCGTGGAAGCGCGGAGAAGTATTCCTCGCAGAGCCTTCAGTGGCCTCTGGTGGTGCTCGGGCGGGAGTTGTGTCCGGGATCCGCGCGGAGGGCCATTCTGTCTACGGCATTCTTTCTTCTTCGAGTGGGGGGCGCAGTCCAAGGCCCATGTCTGCTCCGGGAGCAGCGTGACCCGCCCGAGGAGGTCCGAGTGGTGGCGGTGAGTGCGGCGACCACGCGTCTGCGCCGGCCGTTCAGCCTGTCGCGGGTCCCGTGCCGCGCACACGTGTCTACGCAGCCTGTTGCGGAGGTTCACTCTTTCGGGAGGGGGAGGGGGAGGGAAGGGTGTCAGGAATCGCGCGAACAAGGACCCCCTAAGCATACATGTTCGGAGGCCCGCGCGGATTTCTAGAGTCGGCGCTGGGCTGGCGCCGGAGGCGCCGCCCAGCGGATCCAGCGCCGACGCAAGAAATCCGCACGGACCTCCGGAAGGCCATGTGTCATTGAGTTGTTCTGGTATTCCATTTCCGAGAGAGGAGAGGCGGGCGGCAGGAAGATGCATTCGCTTCTCATCCACACCGTCTAGCTGTAAGGCTTCTTCGCTGAATGTCTCTCAGGGCTCTAGGCCTCGCGACCGTGGGGAGTGGGCCAGCCCGTCTTCCAGGGGAGAGTCACACGTCCCTCTCCTCGGGGACAGCACAAGAAGCGGCATAAACGTAGACTGTCGAGGGTGCGGGCTCGAATTTCTTGGGTCGGCGCTAGCCCCCCACTCCAGGGGGGCGCCTCTGGCGCCGCCCCTGGAATGTTGTATTCATGCAGCTTTGTTGGTTCCTCTACATGAGGCTCGGATCAACCCATAGTGTTTCATGTCCTTCCCGCCACAGGCCTCAGCTCACCCCCGTCCCACCCCACTCGCGGTTTCTGATGACTGAGCCTAGTCCGACCCAAACTCGAGGTAGCTTCTTCTGAGTGCATCTCAATGCAAAGCAATGTATAGCACAGTAACGTATAGCATGGAGTTGCCCAATTCATGCTTGCACTGCATTGCGTCGCGTGGCGTGACTTCTCATGGAGGCGTAGGGCATGGCGATAGCAACACATGCGCAGTCTTGCATGCATTAGCATGGTGTAGCCAACCAGCCACAGCATGGCATTGAGGAAAGAGGAGGGTGGAGAAGGGAACAGGACGGAGAGAGAAAGGAGGGAGGAGGGAAGGGGGGAGGTAGGAACGAGAGAGGGATGAGAGAACAGGAGTAGGGGGAGGAGGAGGAGGAGGTGATATGAGATGAGACCGATCGCAGAGCGAGTCGAAAAGAAAGGAGGGCGGGCGGCGGGGGGGCGGTGCGGCGGTCCTGGTAGACCGCCACGGTGTTGGTGGCGGCCGCGCGCGCGGGCGCGCGCCGCACGCCGCTGACACACACACACACACACCCACTTAGGGGGCCCCCGCCGCCCAAACCCCGTTAATTCCCTCTAACCGCCTTCTCAGCCTTGCTAAGAACTTTGGGCCAGAGGTTCCGAGATATTCGGTCCAAGTGCTCCCGCCCCGTTCCAGTGGGCGGGATCGGAGGATCCTTCCGAGCAGGGCACAAATCCGCTAAGCCACGCAATTGCTGGTGGCCGTAGCTGCCGCAGGCTTTACAAAACCACAGGTCGAGCACATTGTTATATAACATAATGTGGGCAGAGTGGACCACACCCCCAGCGAGATATAACAGACGACCCAGAGGCAATTTAGCTAACACACTTGAGACATGCAATAGATCGAAACATTATGTTTCCATCCACTTGGCTCTCCCCGCTTCAGAGGTGGAGCCACGGCACCTCGAGCACTTTTTCCCGCAATCTCTAATACAGTGCTGTGAGGAAAAAAGGGCAACAGCCACAGGAGGCGGGGGGGGAGCAACAGCAGCAGCAGCAGGGCGCCGTTGTTTTTTCCCCTCCGCCTGGATAGCCTCAAGAGTGGTCCGAAGCAATCTTTCCCTGATCAGTCGGGCGTCGGCCTCGACCTGAAGCAACCTAGCACGCTGGGAACACGGGACCCCGAAAACTTTAGCAGCCACACCGGCGAGATGGTCCACAAAACAATTCCCAGCAATCAGAGGCCCCGCCAGGCCACGCTCGACTACCTCTTGCGCCTCAAGGTGGGACGGGACTTGTAACACAGCTAAGTCACCAGGATGACGATCCGTCGCCTGAATGACTTCCCCTAAACGTCTCCACAAATCGGCATTCGGCCCCGACGGGGCCGCGAAAATGTTGGCCCAAAAACCCCGACAAACTTCTTCGTTGTCGGTCACAAACGCCATCGGCCCTCTGGACAAAGCCACGGCGGTGATCAGACAGAACAACTCACCCCTGGGGACGGACTGGTGCCGACCAGGCAGTGGGCCATATACAAATCGGATATTGTCGGAACAAGGCTGCTCAGGGTTGTTCGAAACTGCGAGCCCTACCCTACGCAACCTCGGGTCGTGGGTGTCCTTTCCCCCCGACGAGTCCCCAAAAAGGAGGAGAGGTTGGAGGGAGGAGCCTACCCCAAAGTACGAGATTATTTCCGCATCATTCGGGTGGCTACGGACCCAACACTCTTCATTGACGGGAGGGTCCAAAACCACCATGCCTCTAGGGATCAGGCCCCTAAGCCAAAAACATTCACAACTATTCTCCTGGGCTAAAGCTTGTGGGACAAGCCTGTCAGAAGCGGCAAACACAGGCGAGTCGCGGTTACACTCACACTCCCACACTCGGTGGAGTGGGGTCTCCAAGGCTTTACCACACCTCCTGCACAACCCAGAGGCCTGAAAGCCTGCTGACTTTTTCCTATCATCAGTCCAGGCGCCTCCGACGGCAATTGTCATCATCAATTCGCTGAGCTGACGACCATGTCCTGGGATACGCTCCAATTGCAGGAGATAACGCCTCAAAGAATAATTGTCCACTCCGTTCTCCATGCCGCTTCCACAAAATGACTTGGCAGCAGCCTCTCTCCAAAGACGATCTTGCAGCGACTGGGCAAACCTGTCAATGAGATCCCTGGCCTGGTCGAAAGCCTGGAACTCCGTTGCCGCGAAACTCCATCCTTCGTCGTCACTATCCCCACTGCTCGGTGGGAACCATAACGCCTCCTGCGGTATCTCCCACCCTGCATTGGTCAGGTAGGCTATCACCGCTGTGAGAGGCCCTCGCACATGTCGCCACCGATGCTGTGGCTCCAGCTCCTTGAACTGATGCACCGTCTGCTGCCATACCCGCGCAATGGGTACACGAATCCTTGGGAACTCCAGCCAGCACCGCATCCACTGCTCCAAGCACTGCCGAGGGAGGGCGTACCCTGGGTCGGCCCCAGGCGCCCTGAGGTCCAGCAGCGTGGTCAAGCAGCGGCCTCGGCGGTGTCCAGACACCGCTCCCAGCCGACGCCGTAGCTCGAGCAGAACCGTGTCGGGCAGTCCCAAGGCCTGGTGCCCGTAGCGGGCCCCCGCCTGAGGGCCTGCGAGCTCAATCTGTTTCAGCACTCGGAACCGTCGCGATGCATTGGCGTACTTGCGAAGCCGACCGTGCTGCTTCTTGGTGTTGGCTATGCGTTGGTTCCGAGTGGCCCTGACAAGCCTCTTCCCGCAACTCATGCCAACACCCAAGTAGGTGAGCCTCGACGCACACTGCACCGTAACACCACGTCGCTGAAGCTCCTTCACTATGGCCCTCGCGTCCTGCATCGATGAGCACGTGATCGTACTCTTCGAAGCCAGCTTCAGGCCTTCGTCCTCGAGCATGCCGTTAACAGCTGTGACCCCCTCGATGAGCTGGTCCCTCACGAACCTGCTGGAGCCCACCGCCGTCTGCGACAGGTCGTCAATCCACAGCCTCTCAGAAAGCGCTGGGTGTGCAACCGTCAGGCGCTCCAAAACCAGGCTCGTGACGCACCTGGCGAAGCGTGTGCCCGACCGCAGCCCCTGGATGATGCTCCTGGTCGCTTGAAAGGGCAGCGACACGGCATCACCTTGGTCGAGCATCCTCGGGGCTGCACATATTTGC